CGCACAACCAGGAGATTCACACCTGGCTAGATTCATTTAAGTAAGCCAGATGACCTGGGTACACTGGGCTATACCTAATGAAAGTTCTTGACTTAAATTCTGGCTTATGACCTTACTAATAACTGCTAGCTGTATTATTTTCTATGTCACTTGTTTCAGAAGATTCTTATGTTACTCCATATGAGATCAATGATTGTAATAACATAACTCTAGATAAGGGAAGAAGCAACAAGAGGGAATATTTTCCTGGACCACGAGGCTAGTGGGACAGGTATGGGGCAGAGACTTTTGCTACTCACAAGGCCTGGTCCAGTGATAGGCACACAGATTGGGCCTATCAATGGGATCTTCCCTAGACCTGGAAAACTATTAAACTACCTGGGTTCATTGGACATGTTAAATTACATGGAAAGTACTATTGAAGGGGTGATAAATCTTCTCAGATTATACTGTATGGTTGATGTTACTAATATAGATATCCTAAAATTATGTGGAATTCATATAGATCTGATATGCCCTGATAAAATGTGGTCAATTATAATTCTAGTTATCATGTTAAAGTGTTACAAGTTTTGTTTGTTTGTTATCTGGTAAATTGGTAACAGACTGGAATTTAGTTTACTCTCTATGTTAAGGAAACAAAGTTTTCTTAGAATGCAGCTTTTGATAACAAATTATGAATATCTTTGCCTTTAAGTTATTTATATTTGTTTTTAAAATCTTTCATTACTTTGGTAAAGAAGCACTATTTAAGATTATTGTACATGTAGACAATGTTCATTCTGCTTCTACAAAAAATAAGCCCTCACGGTTAGACTTCTGCTATCCAGATGTCTTTAAAACATGGCTACAGTCTACTACAAAACAGGAAATTAAAAATGGGTGAACAATAGCTGTAAATCAAAGAGTCAGTGCTATGGGAAATCCAAGACGGCCACTTGGATTTTCCCAGCTCCCTGACAAACCTCATTTTTATTTGATGAGTTAAAGCCTTCCCTGGCTACAGGGTTAATGCTCTCACAATGACAAAAAAATTATATTTCACTTATTAAGTTCTAGTTTTGTTAATTAAGGTCTGTGTTTACTACAACTCACTTCTGAAGTAGTTCCTTGTTGTTATGTTATATTGCTAAAAGGTTTGATTAATTGTTATTAAAGAGGATACTCTAAGTTTGTTTCTAAAGCTTATATCAATAACCAATCTTTGGATAAAGGTCAGATGCTCCATGATGCACAACCAGGAGATTCACACCTGGCTAGATTCATTTAAGTAAGCCAGATGACCTGGGTACACTGGGCTATACCTAATGAAGGTTCTTGACTTAAATTCTGGCTTATGACCTTACTAATAACTGCTAGCTGTATTATTTTCTATGTCACTTGTTTCAGAAGATTGTTTCTTATGTTACTCCATATGAGATCAATGATTGTAATAACACAACTTTAGATAAGGGAAGAAGCAACAAGAGGGAATATTTTCCTGGATCACGAGGCTAGTGGGACAGGTATGGGGCAGAGACTTTTGCTACTCACAAGGCCTGGTCCAGTGATAGGCACACAGATTGGGCCTATCAATGGGATCTTCCCTAGACCTGGAAATGTGCCTTCCCAGCACCGTGGGACACAAATGGCTACGAAATGCCCCCAAAGCATGGCCAAATATGTGGCTGTGAAGGGACCCTGCTGACTGAAAGTTGGCACTTGCCAGCTGCCTCTGCAAAGATTACATCATGACCACTGCAAGCTGCTGACATGCCCTGAGACAAGTTCAGGGTGGAGATCAGAAATAAGGCACTCTGTGCTCTGGGAAAAGCTCAGAAGAATCAGCCTTCAGAGAGCCAGATGTTTTCAGGTAAAGATTTTATGAACCCAAATTCTTGCATTTTCTCCTATCTAGAGAAATACTAACACCACGAACCAATGCCTTTGTCTACTCCTGGTTTTCCTGGCTAGCTCCCCAGCAGCTTTTCTACTTCTATTAATCTTTGGGCCATATATCTTTAACTTTCTTGTTGTTTGTTTCTTCTAGAATACAACAAATCTCCAAGTGATAGTTTAACAAGAATATTCCCTGGCCAACACCCAGACAATGTGGAAACAAACTGCCTTATCATTGCATGGACTCTCATCTCCCTCTGTAAATGCACCCTGACAGACAGCAGGCAAAGGGAACCCACAGCCCCACGACGCCCCTGTGCAGCCTGAAGTCAGAGTGGTCATTGCCCCCTTTCCCCTGAGACTGGGTTCCCAAATGCCTGAGAAGGGAAATAGGTAGATAGTTAGACATGAGCAGAGTATCAAAAGGGGCCAAAGAATTGGCCCTAAAAATAAAGACAGGGAGGAATGTAGTGACTCAAGGATGAAAAGACCAGATAAATGCAGGGATAAATGCAGAATCAGAAAAACCATGCACTTATCGTCTTTCCTTTTCCCACATTGTAACTATTAACAGATTTCAGGTCCTCCTGAGAAGTATAACCTCTCTCCCCGCTACCCCATGGGGAGAAGGTATTTGCCTTACTCTTCCCCCACTCAGTATATGTGTCTCATCCAATCTGCAAAGGACCCACAAGACCCCTATCCCAGTCCTTGTACCCTGTGTATGAAGTGGACTAAGGACCCCTTGTTCAGCGACGGTTCTCCATTGAACTGGCATGCTGTTCTTACAGTGTCTCCCATTCTAATAAACTTTATTTCCCTCTCATTCTGTCTCATGTCTGGAAATTCTTTTCCAACTCATGCCCAGACCATGACAATAGATGGTATGAAGAAGAGGAAATTAGAATATTTTATTCTAGATTGTTCTCAAATTGAAATATTATTTTTGACAGAGTTGAAATGAAAATTTTGTACAGATGTATGTTGAAAAAAAACGGAGAACTATACAGATGTCATGAAACAATTGGTACTTCCCTGAGGGGTAAGAGGAAAAATTTACAGAATCACAGAGCATGATGTGTCATTTAGCAGCTCCAGACAGCACACAGCATCTTTCAGCAGATAGAGCAAAGGGCAAGGAGGAAGGGTCCACGTCTGTTTCTGGCATAGATTGCTTTGGGACCTGGAGGAGTAGAGTCTCACCTTTTTGAACTCAGGTCACCCCATATGCTAAGAAAATCCACCCCCCAAAAAAAAGAAAAGAAAAAGAAAATCCATAACTCAAAGATATGTTGTGCACCAATTTTGACATCTATAACCACAGGCAGATTTCAAAAATCAAGGCTACCGCAAAGCAGTGACTATTTATTCTGTCTCTCCATAATTTACAGAATTAATAAAGAATTGCAATAGCCAGCCACCAATTGGATGCCTATTGGAAAATTCTTGTTTGCTTTACACTTTGCTTGCCCTGGAACCTGTCACTCTTATCCACTTTTTCTTTGCATGAAATTTAAATAGAATGCAATTCTAGCTAGATTTGTTATTTAAATTGCAGTCTCCATACTCTCCTTTGGAAGTTGAAGTATCTATATAGGTAAGGCTGGAGTTAGGCAAAAAGATAAGCTGGGGATCAAACCCGTGTTTGTTACATCTCCTGCACTGGCAGGCATGTTCTTTACCACGAGCACCACCCACCATATGTGAGCCCAAAATTCAGGGTCACAGCATCACACCCGATGTGAAGAGCTGATTCATTGGAAAAGACCCTGATGCTGGGCAAGATTGAGTGCAAAAGCAGAAGAGGGTGACACAGGATGAGATCGTAGATAGCATCACCTGCTCAATGGACATGAGTTTGAGCAAACTCCGGGAGATAGTGAAGAACAGAGGAGCCTAGCGTACTGCAGTCCATGGGGGTCACAGAGAGTTAGACACAACTTAGCAACTGAACAACAATGACAAAGCTGTTACACATGAATTAGGTAAAGTTCATTGTCTTCATTTGCTCCTTTACAATCTATCCTCTTCCAGCATCGAGTTAGATGCTAACTTTATACTTCTCTCAATTATTATCTTCATTATTTAGAAAAATATAACACAAATGAGAAATTTGAAGATTAAGTTTATAGTTAAAAACACTACCTCTGTCTTACAGCTTGGTGCACAATATGGAAAATGATACTTTTCTTACATGAACCATCAAACTGCTGGGTAGTTGGAATAGGAAACAAGAGTCCAGAATGGTGGTGGCTAAAAGACAAGGAAGGGAAATGCCCACGACAATAGAACAAAGGAAGGTCCAAGGACCAGAGTGAGGACCTCAGGTAGAACAAATAGCACTCTTGGCTAGCCCAATTTACATAGGGCAGGCCCAGGGGAGGAGGAAAAACCTATAAAAAGAGGAGCCAAAGGGCCAGGGTTCTCTCTCTCTCTCTTCTCTTTGCATCTTTTGGGTTGGCATGCCATCACACCTCGAGGATGTATTTTGCTTTATTTTCTAAATAAAACTGAGCTGTAACTTGGAGCTATAATACTGATCTGTCCGACAGCTGTGACAGTCTGTCCAAGGGCTTTAACGTCTGTCACTTCAAATTTTTGTTGTGATGAGACAGAATTAAGGAAATTACACACTCCCACAACAAAACCAAATCCCCAGATAAAGGCAAACACAAGAAAGTCTCCACACCTTATAGAAGAGATCATTTTCTTTCTTACCAAATGCTTGGTTTTCAAAACATTATGTGACTTCACATTGTTTAATCTTTGTGGTCTATTATCTAACCTTCTTGGGAATTGACTTCCGTAAGTACAATGTTCTCACAGTCCCCTTCCATCAGTTCAGTTACATTGACCCATAGGTATGTTTTGGATACACTCACAAGCACATACACACATGCATACACATGTGCACACATACATACACATGCACATAGCTTTTTGACTTTGAAGAGTGATACAAAAACCAGAGGCCCCAGAACCTAAGACAGAAGTATGGAGAATTATCTGGGAAAACTTGGTTGCATTTTCAATATTGAGCCCAACACATGATGTATAGTCTTAGTGGATATTAGCGCATTAGCAAAATCTTATTGTGGAAATGTGTTTTTAATATGTATGCATCACTGAATCACCTTGGTGTACACCTGAAAGTAACATAACACTGTAAATTTTTGCTGAATTCAGCTATACTTCAATTAAAAAAAGAGAAGCCTGTTTTGCCAGCTCTCTTAAACTGGTCCAGGCAACACAGTACCTTCCGCAGGGGCTTGAGCTTGGTCTCCATGATGAAGTCATATTTGCACAGCTCACAGCAGCGTGTGTCAGAGCTCTTGATCCACTGGTGCAGGCAGGCCTGGTGCACGAAGCGTAGGGTGCCTGTGCAGCGGCAGGGCGTGATGAGTGGGCTCTCCTCGTCCCCTTCGCAGTGACAGATCCTGGGGAGGACACAGCAAGGAGGTGAGATCTCCTAGGGTGCACACCATATCCTCCTCCTTGAGCATCCTAGGCTTATTGGGATCTACAACCTCACATTTGGAGCCACAAATATTTCAATTCAACTTAATGCTGGAGCTAAATAAGTGGTCAATATTAATTTCCTTTCACTTGTCTTAGTCATTGCTGGACTCTTAGGTCATATCCTGGGGCTTTACACACCTGTCTATCAAAAATGCACAATCATTCCTCCAGGGAAATAAATTTTAATAGACTAACTATTGAGCTGTGTCCCCACTTTTATCTATCAAAAGTCAGTGTCCCAACAGAAAGAGACCCACAGACTTAGAAAACAAATTTACAGCTGTTTGTTTGGATGTATAGTTAGGGAGTTTGGGAAGGTCATGTACACACTGCTTTATTTAAAATTGATGACCAAAAAGAAGCTATCATATAGCACATGGAACTCTATTCAATGTTTTGTGGCAGCCTGGATAGGAGCAGTGTTTGAGGGAGAATGGATACATGTATATGTATGGCTAAGTCCCTTCACTGTTCACTTGAAACTATCACAACATTGTTAGTCAGTTATACTCCAATACAAAATAAAAAGTTGAAACAAACAAACAAACAAACAAAAAAGTCAGTGTACCATTGTAAAGAAATTATACACACACACACACACACACACACACACACAAATGTCAGTGTCCACAGGCACGAGCTTTCTTTCATATATTAAAGTTACAGTTTAGTATTCTAAGGAATGTTGGAATCTGGTAATCTCATTGTTTTATTTTGACAGTAGTTTCAGAGGATGTGTAATTTAGTACATATGATATTCTACCAATGTGAAAGAATTCTGAAAAAATTTAATGTGTTGCCATGGAATAAAGTGAATATAGACAGTATCAGCTTGGAAATATTACAAAAATTTTCCTAGGAAGATGCACATGTTTGTTCACAACAAATGGGCTAAACTTTAATAATCATCATTGTCATGAAAGTCTTTGGTTACAGAAAGTTCAGCTACAGCAAACAGTAAAGTTCAGCTACTGTTTTAAAATGTTAATTACTATGTCTTCCTAAAAGTTCTTATTTCAAGCAGTTTACTGAATTACTATGATTTCTAATGTTATAGATTCAGTCTATAAAATCTCCATTATTCTCATCTTCAAATTTTAAAAACTAACTTGTTTTCCTCATTGGATGAGATAAGCTTTTGATGGCATGAGATCACAAATTCAAATCTTACAACTTCAATAATTCTTATTATCTAGAAGCTATAGAAGTTGTTCCTAAATTTGATTAGAAATATTGCTTGAAATCTGTTAGAAATATGAACGGAATGTTCCCAGAACACTTGTATAGTTATTTTTTGGAGCTGAGTCATAGTGACAGGCTGAAAGAATGTTTGAATTACTACTGCTGTTCTTTCCTTTCAGCCATCTTCACCAGAAGCAGTGCTTTTTAAAAAGTGGATTTTAAAATATATTTATCTAACTCAACTGTCTCCCAGGGGAAATGCAGTGGTTGGTTGGTCAGATTGTTACTTCAATGAGATAACAGGAATTGAAACTTAACCCTCCCCTAACTTCAAAATAAAGAAGTATGACACAGTATGCTAATATTTTGAATCTCTTTTTCTTCAGTAAAGACAAAGTAAGCAAACAGCAACACTGACTTCAAAAGTTCTTTGGGTGGAGTGAAAAGATAGAACAAGGGAAAGTTCAAAATCAATGTCTGCCTTCCCCTGGATGGAATTACAAAGTAGCAATGTTGGGGGTAGCTGTCAAAGGCTGGCTTAGTGGGGAAAAGCTAAAAATTGAGATTGACATATATAGACTATTGACTGGGCTTCCTTTGTGGCTCACATGATAAAGAATCTGGCTTCAATGCAGGAGACCAGGGTTCAATCCTTGGAATGGGAAGATCCCCTGGAGAAGGGAATGGCTACCCATTCCAGTATTCTTGCTTGGAGACCTCCATGGATAGAGGAGCCTGGCTGGCTATAGTCCATAGGGTCACAAAGAGCCAAACACAGCTGTGTGACTAGCACTTACAGGGTTCAATCCTTGGAATGGGAAGATCCCCTGGAGAAGGGAATGGCTACCCATTCCAGTATTCTTGCTTGGAGACCTCCATGGACAGAGGAGCCTGGCTGACTATAGTCCATAGGGTCACAAAGAGCCAAACACAGCTGTGTGACTAGCACTTTTCCTTTATTTCATAAAATAGATAACCAGCGAGAATCTACTGTATGTCTCAGAAAACTCTCCTCAGTGCTCTGTGGTGACCTAGACAGGAAGGCAATCCAAAAAAGAGGAGATGTGTGCACATGTCACAGCTGATTCCCTTTGCTGTACAGAGAAACTGGCACAACTTTTAAAGCAACTACAGTCCAATGAAAATTTATAAAAAGATAAAACAAAATTATCTCAGAGCCTACTTAATATGAAACTGAAATATGCCCTCTCTTCAAACCTGTAGATCCTAGGATCAAGGCTTAGTATAATTTGTATCATACCTGTTGCTGATAGAGTATTGATCAGTAGATGCTCGTTGAGTCAAGAAATTGGTCAATCAACAAACTATAACTTATTATAAAAGTGACTAAGAAAAGCAAATCTGGGTTTCTAAAGCACATCATTTTTTTTAGCTGTAAATCTCCAATTAAAAAAATTATTTTTAATTCAAGGACAATTACAATATTGTGTTGGTTTCTGCCATATGTTAACATGGATCAGCCATAGGTATAATATGTCCCCTCCCTCTTGAAACTTCCTTCCACTCCCCACCCCATCTCACCCCTCTAGGTTGTCACAGAGCCCTGGATTGAGTTCCCTGCCTCATGCAGCAAATTCACACTGGTTATCTCTTTTACATATGTTAATGTATATATTTCCATTAAAGCACATCATTTTTATGTAATACTTATTTTTGGAACAACTGAACCCTAACAAATTATACATTATGAGTGGCTAATATTTCTGAAGTCCTTTGAACCTGTTCTCTCACCGACTTCACACAGAGATCCTCCCTTAGATCAGGGGCCAGCACATTGTGGCGTGATATTCCTTATGCATGTTTTGGCAGATAACGTTTCTTTTTTTTTGGACCACACCCACACACATATGGAAAAGGCAATGGCAACCCACTCCAGTACCCTTGCCTGGAAAATCCCATGGCCGGAGGAGCCTGGTGGGCTGCAGTCCATGGAGTCGGACACGACTGAGCGACTTCACTTTCACTTTTCACTTTCATGCACCTGACAAGGAAGTGGCAGCCCACTCCAGTGTTCTTGCCTGGAGAATCCCGGGGATGGGGGAGCCTGGTGGGCTGCCGTCTATGGGGTCGCACAGAGTCGGACACGACTGACGCGACTTAGCAGCAGAAGCACACACGTATATGTATTGTTAAGAGCTGTGTTTATACTATAACTGTAGGCCTGAAGAAGATGCATGTGGCCACAAAGACTATCATCCTCACTATCTGACCCTTTGCAGGAAACGTTTACATTATGGTGATTCTGAGTTAAAGACAATGTCTGACTGTTATCAACAATGATGAAAACAAAGTTTATAAAATAAATCACCCCAACTTCTGCAAGTAACAAAAATTGAATTAAAAGTTCCAAGGAGAAGCATATGATAAAACCAAAAGCCCCCCCTGGCCTGTCACTGATGCCCGTTGACCCATAACAAGTCTGTAGGAACAGGGGGAAAGTTTCTTATTTGAAAAAGAAAAATGTGCAGTTAATTCCATCTGATAATTTACGACCAAAAAAATGGGTCAAATGCTGCACAGCTTCCAAGATGGTTCTGAGGCTCTGAATTTTTGCAAACTTGAAAAAGCAATTCATCATAAGTGGATGGAAACAGGGACCTTGTTGATTCTAGACTGACCAGAACTGAACCTGACTGTTGTCAAGACTTCTTATGTCTAACACATTCTTTTAAAAAATTTCTCCTGAAAATTACCTGAAGCATCACCAGCAATATTCTTTTTTTTTCATAAAGTTAAGATTCTTTGCTGACAAAGGTCCATCTAGTCAAAGCTATGGGTTTTCCAGCAGTCAAGTATGGATGTGAGAGTTGGACTATAAACAAAGCTGAGTGCTAAAGAACTGATGCTTTTGAACTGAAGTGTGGGAGAAGACTCTTTTTTTTTTTTATTTTTTATTTATTTATTTTTTTATTAGTTGGAGGCTAATTACTTTACATCATTACAGTAGTTTTTGTTATACATTGAAATGAATTAGCCATGTATTTACATGTATTCCCCATCCCAGTCCCCCCTCCCACCTCCCTCTCCACCCGATCCCTCTNAAAAAAAAAAAAAAAAAAGAAAGAAATTTTTCTAAGTTATCCAACTCATGTTGGTTCCCAAGAGTCTTTTTCAAACCATGTTGAGACTGTTGTAAATGGATTTGAAAGCTAAATATCAATTTCAAATACCTACTAGAAATGAAAAATAAAGTGATAGTGCCATTACAGAAAGAATTAAACAATTCTTAAATTGACACTTCACACAAACCATAATTGCTAAATTTTAAATGAAAACATAGTAATAAAAATACAAACATGCTTTTTCCAATATAATAATCATATAGAGAAAATGAGTTCAATAATAAAAATGCATTATAAAATAATCATAATTTTTATGCACGTTCACTTTATAGGAAATTGAGACTTGGAATTAAGTGATTTTTAAAATCATTGGTGATCTACATTGGTGTCTGTCACCTGGTGGAAGGAACAGGTTGAATTCATGGATTTTATTGGCATTTTAGTATTTTAACTGGCTGTTTATAGTCCAACCAACACGTGTTAGGTTTTCACCATTTATGACTTGAATGGTTATCTACTTTCATATAATTTCTAGCTTTCTGTAAAGAGTGGACCACAAAATACTATTTAGCAAATTAAATTTTACAAAGTGTGTGTGTGTTTGAAGCTTCAAGCCCCCCTTTAATGTTTAAGAAAAGTAGGCTTCTTCTTCT